GCACCTTCTACTCAGATCTGCCGAACTAGTTGTCACTGCGAGTGCCTTGTCTTTGCTCTTTTCTTCCCGAATGCTCTGCCCTCAGATGTTGACACAATTGACTCCTTTGTATCATGTGGGTCTCAGTTCAAATGGCACCTTCTCAGAGGCCTTCTCTTGACTACCTCATTTGCCCTTGACACCATTCTATCATACATTTATAACTACATGAAGTTAGTGTATCTCACTATTAAATTTGTTTCTATTAAACTGAAAGCTCCTTAAGAGCAGACGTTGCCTCTTTCATTCACCACTGTACAGCTCAGTGCCTGACATGCAGGAAATCTCAAGAAATACTTACTGAATGAGTAAAAGCCCCCCAAATTATGAACCTTAGAAACATTAGGCTTAGTGAAAGAAGCCAGTGACAAAAGGCTACATATCATAGGATCCCATTTATATGACATGTCCAGGATAAGCAAATACGTAGAAATGAAAAGTAGATTAGTGGCTGCCTAGGGCTGGGGAAGTTGGGGGTAGATGGTTGTGACTGCTAATGAGGACAGGGTTTCTTTCTGGAATGATGAAAACTTCTTTCTGGAATTAGTGGTGATGGTTGTACAACTCTGAGAATAAAAACTATTGAACTGTGCACACTTTAAATGAGTTGTGTGTGAAGTATATCTCACCATCTCTGTTCTAAAACAATAGAACTCCCAAATTTACTCCAGCTCCGCCCCATCTTCTGAATTCCTTGTGTGAATAACATGCCCACTTACCAGTTGTTGAGCCTCGGAATCGGAGTCACCCTAACACTCCTCTCTGCCCTGCCTTCTTTCCCCGCGACTGCCCCTTCCAACACATCTGACCAGTTCTAAAGTTCTAAAGATTTCACTTCCTTACTCTCTCAAACCTACTTCTTTCCAACCCACTGCTGCTCATTTCACTTATTCTAGCCTCTTATTGCATATTACTTGGATTATTTCAATTACATCCTAGATTCTCTCCAGTTAACCCACATTTATTCATCTGCTACACTGCTGCTAGGAGCAATCATTAATCTTCCTAAAATATAATTTCCATTATATCCCATCCCTGCTTAACATTCTTTGTTGCCTCCCTGTAACTGACGCTAAAGACCCAAGCTCCTTAGTATGTGTACAAGGTCCTTCATAAGATGGACCCTGATAGCCTCTCCCACCTCATCTGCTAATCTTTTAGCCATGGCCATGAGGAAACTGTGACTATTCTCATTTTCACACGCGCCACTTCCTCGGCAGGAACATCCTTGCCCCCATATTTTACCTGTTTTTAATTCCTATTTCTTAAGACTCAGCTCACGCATATTTTCCAGGACGCACGAGATAGCATTTTCTTCTCCTCAATCTGCTAGCAACCCCTTTTCCATACTCTCATGACACTCGGTGCAATGCCTACATATACTGTTATAAAATAGTAACCATTTACTGAGCACCTACCTTGATCTTTATTCCTCACAATAACAGACGCTATATTATTTCCAGAGAAAAAGGTTCAGTGAGATTGCAAACCTAGCAAGTGATAGAGTAGGGACTGGATTTCAGGACTGACAACAAAGTAATGGTCTCCTATTATTCCAAACTCTCTCCAGTACCTTTTCATTTTGGACTGCAATTCCCTCCAAAAGGGTGTATTCAATTAACTTGGCCCTGTCTTAATTGTATCTCCAGTGCCTAGTGTGGTGCTTGACACCTGACAGGGTTTGCTGAATGCACAGAGATAACAGGTGTGAACTGAGCAGAGGGAAATTTGTGTTATGTCCCCAGTAGGTGCTCAATGAGTCTTTACTGAGTAAATGTGTAAAGGAGATACTTCCTACCTTTTGAAAGATGCACATTCATGTTGCGCTAACTGAAATCTAACAATAAACATGTTTGTGGATTTGCTTATTTATAGAATAAGCTTTCCACATTTATATTTCCCTTTCTAAGCGACATTCTGGATCTCTAAGGTACTTCTCTGGCAGGTCACCTCCACGGAAAGACCAGCCTTCTCCTGGACCATCAAGGGCTGAGTTTCTGTCCTTAGCACTTCTGCTTTTCCTCCTCTCCAACTTTCTACCTCCCTTATCCTGCTACGGTCTGAGCGCAAAACGGAACGGATAACAAGTCCCTAATTTATTTCTTCTCTTTCACATCTTGGCAAATGCCAAATCCTGGAGGTAATAAGAGACTGATTTAGTTCTTCTCGCACCGCTATAGCCTCATCCAGGTTCTCACCTCAGGCTGCCGGCATCAGCATCACCGGTTCCCTCAGGTTTTGCCACTCTCTGGCGTACATGAAAGCTGCCAGCGGCCCCACAGACCTCCCCCCACCCCCAACTCCAACATCCTCTCCCCTGACGCTGAAGAAAAAGTAAAATCCCGTTCGACCTAGCAGGCCCCTTCCGGTCACCAGTTCTCCACACCCCTTCAGGAGGAGAAGCCAGGCCCACACCTGCGGACCAAGGGGGCAGGCGGCCGAGGCATGCTCGAGTGGGGGACGACCGCGGTGGCCGACCATCGTTACCCCTCCTCGCCCGTCACAGCCCGTGGCTTCATTCCCTATCTCGCGGGTCCCTTACAGGGGTCGGATCAGCAGCTGGTCACTCTCCTCTGCAGGAATTGCAGACATCTCGGAAGTCTGAAGGCGAAGCAGGAGTGCGGAGCAGGTCGCGGGAGTCTTTCTAAACGGGAAGCATCGCCTCGGAGAACCAAAGCAGGAGCAACGCCATGCACCACGAACACAACTTCCGGCACTCCGGCGCCCGCGACACTAGGCCCCTCCCCTCGACTTCCGGTCGGAGAATCCTACTCGCGAGGTTCTTTCCCACGTAGAGTCGGAAAACCTCGCGAGGGGTCACGACTGCGCCTGCGCAACTTCTCGGAGGCGGGGTCCGGCGGGCGGGGCCAGAGGGCCGGAAAAGCCGGCGCTGGCATGAGAACGGGAGTGGCTGTCGCGGCGCCGCCTGCGGCGGCGGAGGGTGCCTGACCTCGACCACAGACGACTCCAGGGATGGGTCAGCCGTTGTGAGGTGAGAGCTCGGCCCTCACCGCGTCTGTCTGGGTTGAGCCTGGCTGGAAAGCGGGGCCCGAGGGCGGCTCCGGCAAGGAGGCCCCCGATGGGGCGGATGGGTGGGGAAGGGGGGCCGCGGTCTCCACGGGGACCCGCCCTCCCTGCGTCGGGAACCCGGGCCTCGAGGCGGTGAGTGAGGGGCGGCGGGAGCAGAGGAGCGGCCCGGGTGCCCGGTTCCCGCCTGGGCTGGGACTGCAGCTCCTGTGACCACAGTGTCCTGCGTGGAGGGTCCCGTTGGAAGGGCGACGGGAGTAGGGGCACCACGGGGCTGCTTCCCTCGTCCGACCCTGCTTCGCGGGGCGGTGAAGAGCACTCTGTTTGTGCTGGCTTCTGTTGGTTTCTTCGGGGCTTCCACTCCCTGTCACCGCCGCATAGGGCAGGGGTTGCGTCTGTCTTGTTTACTGTCGTCCTACGCGTCTGCACGTGGCAGGCGTGACACAGCCGTAAGGAACGCGTGAGAAGCAGTGTGGGTCTGGAAGAGCTTTGCAGCCAGGTCTGTCTAGCTTCCAAACTCGGCCCCACCCATTATTAGCCTGGTGACTTCCGTGGGCCGCTGTGGCTGCCACATTTGAAAGGGGCTGTTTAACGCTGCAGCCTTGCTGGTGAAAGGTACATGTAGCGCCGAGCACTGGGCGGCGCATGGTGGGGGTTCAGTACATTGGAGTCTTTTTTTGGATGTCATCTCCCAAGAAAGTTCTCCAGGGCATTAAGCATGTTCCCTGTCAGGCTGTGCCAGGCGCTGGGGTAGACAGACCAATAACCGAGCCCCTGCCTTTGACCAGCTCGAAGTTCAGAGTACACAAGTAGACAAGAGCCAGCTAATGCTATGAGGGTGTAAGCTGTGGAGGGCTCGCCCCTCAGCCCAAGCTGGAGGTCCAAGGGAGGCTTTCTAGAAGACAAGCCTGGAGTCTTGACAGGCGAGCAGTTAAAAGGTGAGAGCGTTCCACGCAGAAAGAATGGTGTGAGCGAAGCATGGGAGCATGGAGCCAGGACCTGCCGAGAGAGACTGGAGCAGCTTTACATTCCGTAGAGACTTACGGTGACGCTGGTTGTGGGAGAGGAGCCTGGAGAGGTGGGGAGAGCCTGTCCTGGAGCTCGCATGCCCTGGGGGAGAGCTTTGACTTCCGTCTCCAACTCTGGGGAGTCAGCGAAAGATTTTAAGTGGGTTCATGGCATCAGATTCGAGTTTCAATGAAATTTTAGCTGGAGCTCGGTGGTAGATTTAACGCGGCAAGGAGTCCAGCTGGGACATGAAGTTCTTAAAATTGCATGCCAAACCCTGTACATTTTTATGGGTTGAGGGTCTGCCACTTTCCTCAGATATTGAACAAGTATTTATATACAGCAATGGTCTAGTGACGATGGGGGCCCCATTAGAGACATGGGTCCCATTAGAGACATGGCTGAAAGAACGGTTGAGATGGTATATTCAGTGGACCTTGGCATTTGATTGGATGTGGGGCCTGCACCTTCATCAAGTATATTGTTTTTCTAAAAAAAGTTGACTATGTCAGAATGAAAGGAGACGGTGTATGCAGACTGCTGTCTGTGGAACCTCTGAAGACGATTAAAATAGTATCCGTCCTATGTTAGCAGATTCCCTTGTTCCCTCTGTAGAACCCAATTTTTGGGAAAAATCTGTTAGGTTGTTTTACTCATAAATTTTCCTGAAAGATGGGTTATAGTTTCCTCATCTGTAACATGCAGATTATAACCTACCTTCTTTAAGCTCCTTGAAGGCGAGGGCCTAGCCCTCGCCCCCTCCACCCTC